TGGGGAATTCTGGGAGTTGAAGTCCACTCATCTTAAAGCGGCCAAGTTTGGACAACACTGTTAAGGAGAGCGATGAGGACTTGCAACCTGCCCCCACTTCCCTTCCTCCACTGCCTACTCAACATCTGTTTGCTCAACATCTGCCTGCTCAACAGCCTGTTTACCTGCAGGCTTCCAAGTTTCCCGCAATACTTCCAAGTTTCCCTGCAGACATCTAGGGGTTCAGCGGCTTTTTTACAGGCATCGGGTTTGGCTGTTTGCTCCTTCGTGACGCAATGCTAAAACATCCCAAACTCTGCCTTGGGAATTTTGTCCCCAGATGCCAGAGGCCAGTTCCTGTCCCTTTCAGAGCCAAGGAAGCTTCTTTCAACAGCTGAGTGAAAGGGACAGATTTGGACAGGAAACGGTGTCTGTGGCTTCTCCCCACTTCTCTGATAAGGGCAAACTTGATATGCTTAGGTTTTCATTATAATTATGGTTCATCCGTATTACCAGCCACTCTGAAACCTATTTTTGATTAAAGGGTGGGTATAAAAACAAGAAAAAACATGGAGGGAGGGGAAATTCTTTGTTCAGTTTTGGAAGAAGCAAAAACTAGAGCGAGCTTAGTTTCTTCTTGGAAATGGGAGAAAACACACCAGAGACTGTTGTGCAGCCTGCCGAGTGTTTTTACAGGAAGGCCCTCACTGGAATCAGTGAGAGTTCAGCCCTTTCCTTTAGATGTCCTCTGTTCTATCGGCGGACCACCTGAGGCTCAAGCATTGCATGGATCTCCCAGCTTGCTCAATTTTTGCACCAGCAAAATTGCTCAAATTTTTGCAATTTTTGCACCAGCTTGCTCAAATTTTGCCCCAGCAAAATCACCAGCAAGACATTACAAATCTGTGATGGTGTTTCCTGATGTTCTGGGCACAAAAGGAGATAGGTACATCAGGTCTCCAAAGAGATATTTGTATTATATTTTTGTTTTTAATCTCAGCTGCCTATTATTTATTTTGTATTTTTTGTGGTTCTTTTGCTGTTTTTCTAAACTGTTGTTAGCTGCCCAGAATCACTTGTTTGAGACAGGCAGCCATGTAAATCGATTGACCGATCACATCAATCAATCAATCAATCAATCAATCAATCAAGGGTTATGTCAGCCAAGGAGATGCATGGAATCTATACTTTTCAAAAACATCTCACAGCCTTGTCACTTGTCCTACTCTGCAAGATGGGGACGGCAGGGAGAAGCTGGTGGCAACCTGAATGATGCCAGACTAGTCAACCAAACTAAATTATGTGACCGGCTACTTAAGTTTGTATAAAAACACATTCAGAACAAGACATTCTTCTCCCCAACCAATACCTTCCAGCTGTGTGCCGGCTATAATTCCTACCATCTGTGTGCTAGAGGACAACGCTGCCCAAGACATTTGCAGGGCACCCAGTTGGGGAAGGCACAACTCCTAGAGAAATTCCATACATCTCTCTTCAATAAAATGTACTGCGAATAGCTCATGCGTGCTACGTTCAAGGCACGTTAAAACAAACGCAACGAGGACACAATCCATGGGTTGCCCTGCCGTGCAGCTGGATGAAACATCCTGTCAACTCGAGCAGAGGATCAAAGAGAGCAGAAATGGGTGTTTCAGCCAGGCAGCGTTTGGTAATAACATCGAGGGAGGATCAAAATGTCTTGGGCCGGCAGCAGGGGTGCCCCACAAGCCCCAAATCCGCTGGGGCCAGCCTCCCTGAGATGTGCCTCACTCTGTCCCCAAGGAAGAGCAAGAGCCTTGCATCTGCACCCCTGCACCACCTCCCCTTAAGGCAGTGTTGTCCAAACTTGGCCACTTTAAGATGGGTGGACTTAAACTCCCAGAATTCCCCAGCCAGCATGGCTGGC